TTTGTCGAGATTTTTATACTAATAAACCTTTCTGCAAAAAACGCAACAGCAAGTATATGATGCACATATTATGAAGCCCATTAGAAAATATAATGAAAATAAAGTTACTTACCAAGAACTAAAAAGGCCAACTATTAAGAAAACTATTGTTAAACAATCACAAAATACTAAAGTTGCAGGATGTTATTTAGATCAAACAATATTGAAGGAGCAACAGAAGGTATTTATTTAGATCTAATTTATTTTAGGTTCATCTATGAGGTTAACTTTTATAATTATATTTTTTGCTAATAAATAGTTCTTTAAAATTATGTTTTGATTATTATTTTAATAATTTTAATTTTTTCAGGGAAATGAGATTTTAACAGATTCTGATGATGGAAAATTTGTAAATACAGACTTAAGAGGCGGGAAGGACATTGTTTGTGAAAAAGATCAAAATGAGAAGAAGAATATTTTAACTAGAAAGTCTTTTATTAAAAGATCTTCTTATTTTAGAAAAGACCGAGGAAAAGTTGCCGATGCTGATGTGGAATCAAGGAATGAAGAAGATGTGAGATTTAATATCCTTATTGTAATCAATGTGGATTTATCCTATCCAATTTGATTTCTTTATTTGTATTTATATATATATATATATATATATATATATATATATATTAGAGTGGTCCTTAAAATGGTCATTTTCGAATTTCCTTGCTCCCAGGGGCTCAAATGGTTCCAAATAGATAAAAAACAATTCTCTGAAAGTTTTAGCTCTTAATATTAACGTTAAGATAGAGCGCAATTCAATCAAAGTTTTGTATGGAAATAGCATGGAAAAATTTATTATTGGCTCTTAAACAGAAAATCAGAATTATCAACTTACAACAAATTACTTATATATAAGGCTGTGATCAAACCCGTGTGGACCTACGGATTACAACTTTGGGGTACTGCTAAAAAGAGCAATTTAAACATAATACAACGAGCACAAAACAAATTCCTGCGGCAACATGGATTCTCCACAAAGACACGGGTATACCTACAATTCAAGAACATATATCAATGTTTGCCTGTAATTATAAGAATAGAATTGACGCACATCCAAACCAACTAGCATGCAACTTATACCAGGAAGGCCAGCCGACCAGGCTCAAAAGGAAAATACCTCGAGATTTATTATAGTTTATTTTATAATTTATATTTTTTTTCCTCTATATTTGTCTTAGTTTTTTCTTTTTTATATATTAACTATAGTAGATACACCACTGGGCGTATGTGCTAATTTGTAAACAACCAATTGTAAACACTTGTCAGCATTCTCTGCTAAATATAATTATTTTTTATAGATTGCAGAATAAAAATAAAATAAAAAAAAAAAAAAAAAAAGATGTAATTTAGCGAACAAGTGAATGATAAAACTCATTCATTTGTCGCTAAGTTATACCTAAAACATTTTTTTTAATTTTCAAAATTTTTTACATGCTCTTTCCGTACGAAGTTTGATTGAATTGTGCTCTATCTAAACGTTAATATTAAGAGCTAAAACTTTCAGAGAATTGTTTATCAATTTGGAACCATTTGAGCCCCTGGGAGCAAGGAAATTCAAAAATGACCATTTTAAGGACCACCCTAATATATATATATATATATATATATATATATATATATATATACAGTAAAAACACGTTTATCCGACCCTCAGTTATACGAATTTGCGATTTTCTGGACTATCAATCTCGATTGATATATATGTACATACCAGCAAGTCGATTGTATTTTATATAAACCATTAAATTTATTACCTACTTATTTTATGATTACCAAATGCAAATTACCTAATGCATTTTGTAAACAAATTATTCATACATACGTACCAATACAACTATTTTATTTCATGATTAATGCTTAATTTAATTGGAAGAAAATATGTATGTACGTACGTAAGTGTTGATTTCTTAATAAACATTGATTTTTGTTGATATCTATCTACGTATTTGTTATTTTTAATAAACACATAACAAAATTCTTCATACATTTGGTTATCCTGATTTTTTATTATTCGAATGCCTATTGAATTAGTCCGGTTAATCTAGTTTCTACTGTATATATATAGAAATGTTTCTATTAGAGCAATATAAAAAGGTTAAATTAAATAATGCATTTAATCTATTTTGTTTTTTTTTAGTCTACATTACTACATGGTTTGCTGTTTGTCAATGAAGCACGAGGTTTAGAACCTCAATTATTACCACAATCTTATTGTCTTGTAAATCGTGGCCTGTGTCCTGGAACTGGTGGTTCAAGTAAAAACATAATGTGTGATGGAAAATATTTTCAATATTTAGAGGTAAAACTGACTTTATAGCTTCATTTATATTGCTTTTTATGTTTCTTTTTTTCTCAATTTTTTCTTATAATATTTTGGAATACTTTTTTTGTAGACTTTTCCATTACTTTGTAATAAAGCATTAATGGAAAGATGTCACAGTGGACATCTGATTATAGAAATTTGGTTGAAAGGACCAGGTCCCGCACAAAAATTGGTGGGAGTAGCTAGTCTGCCTTTACATGCATTCTTTGTGGCGTACCATGATGCTAATATGGTACGATATTTGGAGAAAGTCAAGGTACTATTTTAGATGCTTTTTATTATCAATTGTTATTACATAGACTTTGTTATTTATGAAAGAAAAGTTATTTTTTAACCCAAAAGAGCAGTTGTTTTTAATTGAAGGAGTATTTTTGTGATTATGACATTTGCATGTTTTATCTTAAGAGTGCTTGCATGACCTTAAAAAATGCAAAAGATCTCTTAAAGATAGTTATTATTCATTCTGTTTTCAATACATTGTATTGATCAAAATTCAATTTTTTGATTTGGAAAAAGATTATAGACTCACTTAAATCTTTTTTTAATGAGATGTGTAACTTTATATTATATATATATATTATATATACATGTATATATATATATATATATATATATATATTGCTATTTGAATAGTAAAATTATTGTTTTTCAGTTACCTGTTATTTCTGTGGATGGATGGATACCTCTGCTATCACCAATATCTGGTACGGTTTCTGGAGAAATTCAAGCTTTATTAGCCATTGGTACAGAAAAGCAACTAGAAGAATTAAGAACGTCTAGAAATTTAAAACCAGATATTGTTCAAATGTTAGATGATTCTCTAAATTCACCTCATCAAAAGCATCATTCAAAATCTAACAAAAAATCTTCTAAGCATGAGAAGAAACATTCGAAAGTTTTAAGTTGCACTATAGGTAATTGATTCTACTTCAATGCTTATTCTTTTTTTAATAAATTGCATTTTTTTTACTGTATAAAATTTCAGTTAAATTTATTAAGAAAACAGAATTACTCTCAATTGAAATCAAATATATGAATTTTTTAATGTATATTATTAGTGGAAATAAGTTTGGTACAATATCTTTTGGTTTAGGAAAATGAATATTTATATAGCCCATACAGATTATATGATTCACACATTTAAATTTGTTCTTGCTATCTTAATTTTCATTTTTCAATTATCAAATAAATCTACAAATTAAATTTATATGTAAAATTCATAATATAGTTATTTACATTACTGTCAAAATCAACTAAATGATTTAGATCATACTTTTAGTTTTCTTAGACTTTTGTCAATAATAGTTAGTGGTATTTGAGCCTTCAATTTTTATAGTACATAGCATCAAGCTTTAATTTAATTGTTATATAATTTTATACTATCATTATTTAATATATTTGACTTTCATCTTCGCAGGTGTAAACACGTCACCTATAGTAGTTAGGCAGTTTGCTACTAGTATATCTGACATTAACTCCGAGTTTCCTCAATCATCATCTACAAATGAGGAAGTAAATCAAAAAAATTATAATACAGTATATACCCAAACAACAACTGATGCTAATATGCCAACTGTTCTAGAGGAATCAGTGAGTAAATTTCTTTTTTGTTACTAAAAATAAAATTGAATAACAGATATTTTTATGATACCCATTAAAAATAAAATAATTGAATGGCTTTATTGACTGCTTAAAATTTGTTACCATTTCTCAAAATGAGCAGAGAAGGATCTGTAATAATTACTTATTTTGCATTTCATCAAAATATTTGTTTTTGAAACAACTATTTTTGTTTAGCCGTTTTGCAACTTCATGTAAGTCAAAATTGTGATCGTTTTTTAACTTCCCGAAGGATAAGTTTATGTTTTCATCAAAAAATCCGATTCGCTAATTTTATTTTTTGTTGTTTCAAGCCATTCTAAATCAAATGAGATTAAATTTGGGAAAAGTATGTGTGTGTGTATGTGAACAGATTTTTTGTCGTAAATGGACGATTTCTCAAAAACGGCTGGATCGATTTCAAAATTTTAAAAGCCATTTGATGTATCTCGATGAGGACAAGCGTTTATTAATTTTGTCGCGAGGATCAGCCAAGCTGTTCCTTTGTAAATAGCAGAAAAGTGAAAAAAATTTCGTCCACGTTTTAGCCCGCAATTTTGAATCGATTTGAAAATTCAAAAACCGTTCGGAAGATATTGGTTGGGATGTTGGAAATCGTCATGATCAGTTTTTCGTAAAGATCGGCCTGTGCCGTTTTCTTGTAATAAAGAATTAAAAAAAATTGTCGACGATTTTTATGATGTTTTTGTTTTTGACGATAATACCATTGTCTTATAGAATTTTAAAAATTCGTCAAAGTTTGCAAATAATAGTATCGTTTTTTTTGGCGTTTGTCAAAATTAGAACTTTCATCGACGTTTGCTTAAAAACGCCTGAACCAAAAATTTAAAAGTTATTCGATGTATTTCGATGTGGATTATATTTTATCAGTTTTGTGCGACGATCGGCTGAGCCGTTTTTTTGTAAATAGCAGAAACGTGAAAAAAATTTCGTTCACGTTTTAGCTCTCAATTCTGAATCGATTTTAAAAAATCAACAACTGTTCGAAAGATATTGATTGGGAATGATACCGATTAGTTAGCTAAAAATCTACCGGGCTGTTTTCTTGAAATTTACTGTTGCAAAAAAAATTTGCCGATTTTTATGAAATCTTTTTTGGCAATAAATATTTGACAATAGATATCATGGTCTTATAAAATATACTAAAATGTTACAACCCTACGACAAATAGTTTAATTTTGAAATTTCATCAAAGTTTGAGAAATATTATAGTATTAAAGTTACTTTTGTGTGCGATGAGTCAAACATTATCAATTCAATAAAATTTTAAATACCTTTAAGATACTATCGTGTCTGTGCAATATAATTAATATTTTAATTACATTATTAATATTACACACTAATTACAAATATTAATATTTACAGTTAATTTTAATGTGTTTGAAAATTCTATTCGTAATCGCAATGTTTAGATTTAATTGAAAGCGATAACTTTTGCTTAATATATACACACAGTATTTTCTAAATGCGCGGTCGATTATTCAATATTTTAATTCATTTTCATATTTAACCCTTTCCACTCGCAAATTCCGAGATTTATATGAATTTTGCCGCCGGAGTGACGGCATTCGAGTCGAAAGGGTTAAATCACTTTTTGTAGGACTATAATATTTTAGTATGTACATTATGACCAGGTACTATATCGCCATATAGAGTTTTATCAAAATCGTCGAAAAAAAATTTAACGGTCAATTAAAAAAAGGCTTGACCTGATTTTCAAGTGATATCTTTCGAATAATTCTTGAATTTTCAAATTTGATTCGGGTTTTCCGTAAACTCTAGAGAACTAAAACAAGTACATAGCAAACGGCTTTTCAACTTATGAGTTTGATTTAGCCGTTTCTGAGAATCATCAAAAAAGTTTAATAAAAGTCGTTAAAAAACATCGGCTCACATGCACACACATACACTTACTTTTTCTAAATTTGACCTCATTTGATTCAGAATGACATGAAACGTTTCCTTCGGGAAATTAAAAATTAGGCTAAAAATTTATCTACAATAAAATTTTTATTGAGTTCATTATATTATTAATGTTGCTGATGATGAGTTGTACTTATCAATTACATTTTTTTAGGAATCTATAACTGACACCAAAAGTTCTAATGCCATACCTTTGAGGAAGCCTAATTCCTTTGGCAATCTATCTACTTTTGTTTCACAACTAATGCAAAATATACCACAAAATTCTTCATTTTTGACTAATTTTGAAATGGGCCTATGTTCTGAAAAATCTTCTGCAGAAAGTGCTCCAAGGTTGAAACAGACTTCAGATCTTTTAGCAGAATTGCAAAGAGCTTTAGAGCATGTACCTCAGGCTTTTGCTGCTGGTTCAGATGACGGAATGAATCAAAGATCAAGTGATAATAATGTAACTGAAAATCATGCTGATGGTCTTGTTGAAAATGAATTAAATGAAGTATATGAAGTTGATGAAACAAGAAGTAGTGAGTCTATTGAGTGTTTTAAGGCATCGATAGAAGTGGAACAAGCTTTGCGTTTGGCTGTGGTTAGTTCATTTTCACATAATTCTCAAAACGTTTTTGTCTGATAAATTTGAAAACAATATTAGAAAATATGGAATCTTCGAAAATGCTTTATTCCATTACATTTTCAATCAAACGATTTAATATTTTTCAATTCTGTCATAATTCTAAATATATTCATAATTCATAATTCTAATATATTCATAAGTCATAATTCTCTAAATATATTCATAATATTATTCATAGTTCATAGTTTAGAGTCATCAAAACTTTTATTACTATAAATATATTCATTTCTATATTTAAAAATGTAATAATTTTTATCTGAATTTAATTATGCTTACTCCAGATTACTTCAACCACCAAAAAGTGTCATAAGCGAAGCAAGTGCAAAACTAAAGTGAAAACTACTGAAATTGCACCCAGTACGTATGTAACGTTTCCTGCCATAGTTTGTAGAAGTTGCTCTATGGTGCAAGCACCAGAAGGACCAGTAGTAGCAACTAATGTAGTTCCCAATACATGTAATCCAACTTGGAAGCAGAAGTTTGATGTTGCCTTACCTGTGGATCTACTTAAAACGGTATGTTTTTAGTAATAGTCTTTTAACTTCCCTTAGGGTAGTTATAGCAATGAGCCCAAAATCGAAAATAAATTTTTTTGCATTTCTCAACGTTTTGAAGGTTTCTGAACATTTTGGCATACCTCAGAAAAAATAGATGTGTGTGTGTGTGTTTCGTGTGTCCGCATTTTTTCGTTCACGTTTTTGGGCACCTGGATCAACCGATTTGAGTAATTCAAAAATTCCTATTGACTTTTGAGCACATTGAGGGAGATGTGCTGATTAGTTTTTGGCAAAGGCAGGTCCAGCAGTTACTGAGATAAAGAACAGAGTGTAGAAAATAGAAATAGTTTTTGAGAGAACAGAATACCCTATTTGAATGTTCTAAAAAACATTCATTTTGTAATGATTGTGAGAAGAGGTGATTAGTTTTTAGCAAAGGCAGGTCCAGCCATTTTGAAGATACAGAGCTAAATATGCAAAAAGTGGCAGTTTTTGAGAGAACTAAGCGTCCGATTTGAATTATTCAAAGAACTTTCTGCTTGTTTCAACAAAATAATTTTGGAAAATAAAATTTGTTTGTAATTTTTTTCTCATAAATTTTTTTTTTCAAGAATTTTTTTTGTATATCGAAAATAATTCAGATTTTAATTTTAATTCTGATCTAATATACTTCAAACAAATAATTTTAACTTTGCAATTCAGTTTATATAATTCTTATAAATATTAGACAATGTTACAATATTTATAAAAATCTATTCGAAACATTTAATATTCTTCGATCATTTCGTTACGGTACAGGAAGTTTCTGCAATTTGCCTTAAAGCATGATGCCATACACCACTAGTTAGTAATAGTTTTAGTGTAATATATATATATTAAATATTTCTAGGCTAGGAATGTAGGCAAGAAAAATATGCTAAATAAAAGCACTTTATTCGTAACGGTTATGTCGCGGTTCTTCTGTAACATCTAATTGTTTTATCTCGCTTAAAATTTTATGGTTTCTTATTATATGTATATATATATATATATATATATATATATATAATGCTGAATTCTCTTTTATTCTCTCTTATCATATTATGTAATCTAAAGACTTCCAATTGAAGGTCTATCGTTGCCTTTATCTCATAAAACACAAGCAATACTATTGCTGAGCGACATGGCGCGTTCTATTTAAACTATTCGGTATTTGGCCGAATAACCAAAAAGGTGCCGAATAAGCCGAATACCGAATGTTCGATGCAAGTCTACTTCATATCCAATATTTCTTAAGCAAATATTTTTTTCCAAAATGAAAATATTCTAATAGTTAATTAAACTCAAGCATTCATCCAGCCTTTTATAATAAAATTTTGGAACTGAATCTAAGTTTAGATATTTGTTCCAGGATCCAAAGCAGTTGGTGTTCAAAATTTGGCGTAAAAGAGGATCAAACACAAATATCGATTTAAATGCAGTGCCAGTATCAGATGTAGTTATTGGTTTTGCAGTTGTTGATTTGTCCACTTTGCTTTCTGGTCTTCCATCTATTTGTGGCTGGTTCAATATCACCGACGTCGGAAACCGATGCAATGGCCAAATAAAGGTATTTTATTATATAATTTTTCTGGATTATTCTAAGTGGAGTAACATCTAACTGGAAATTGTATTATATTGAAATTTATAATTTGAGTTTTGAGTTGCATTAAGTATTTTAGTAATAAGTTGAAACAACCATTGTTCTATAAATTACATAAATATTTTTATTTTACAGATAAGCATCACCCCATTAGAAAATCTTGATAAATTCATCAATGATTCATCATTTTGTTGTAGTGATAATGATACTATTCATAGTTTCAATTCCTCTAATGATGACAAGGTAACATTAGTTAGACTAACAAAATCCAAAGAGAAAATGATGGAAATGCTAGAAACAGCAAAATCTAAATTATATGGATTTGATCAATCTGAGTGCATGGATATAAATGAAACAAGCGCACATGAGGTTGAAGTAGATCATAATATTAATATTGGACAAGTGGCTACTAACAACGCAGATGTGAATTCGAATATGGGAAGTGGATCGCCCAGTTTTAGATTATCAAGTAATCCTTGTGACAATGAATATCAGCAAAATCAACAAAATGTAACGCCCAATATATATTCTAATTTTTATCATAATACTATAAATGAGCATTATTCATACCAAACTGTTCCAAGGCCAGAAGACGCTGTTTCGTCTATGAACCAATCAATAATAACAGATATACTAAATCATAATCCTAACCAAGGGGAAATAGATGATGATACTTTAAATACTACTTCTTTAAGCCGAGTTTTAAAGAGAAAGTTTACAGAATTACATGAGATTACTCAAAGACTTCGGTCCCGATTGTTAGATGTAACAAAAGATGATGATGATGAATTTGAAAGGGATCTTAATACCGTTAGCGATGAAAAAGAATATGGTATTAGGCCTGAAGATTTTGAATCCTTAGCTAAAGCAGTACCAGATACACCTCATGAAAATGAAATGCCAGAGGATGAAAACAAATTTGAGAATTTAGCAAACAACTACCAAAATTTATTAGCAGTAAAACAAAGTTATGTTCAGAAAAGTGTAGATGAGATAGATGTGGATGCTATCCAGAAAGAATTAGCTGCAAATAGAGACATATTGTCACAAAGAAAGTGCAACATAAATTCTTTGTTGCAAAAATTGACTTTACTTACAAATCCTCTTGATAATCCACCACCTGAGAAGCATGTGAAATTTAATAGTGATGTTGAAGTACTTCATAATGAATCCAGCAATATATTTGAACTTATACCTGGATCAGAATTTAATGCCGAATCTCAATCTATGCAACATAGTCCTGAAGATGATAGTTCTATAGAATCTGAAAGCACAAGCAAATCTGGGTCCTATCAGTGTAAATCTCCAGAAGAATTGGAAACTGTTGATCAATTTGAAGAAAATTTAAATCATTCAGGAAAATTCCATAGCAGTTCCCAATATAAATATTCATCTGAACAATATGCTGATTCTAGATTCAATGGTTCCAGTTTTCCACGAGTAGCAAGTGCAGGAATACTTAAACATCCTTCTTTTGAAAGAAGAAATGAAGTCATTATGGATCGAGTTTCTGCTCCTGAAACGAATTCAGTACAAAATTCTTCTGATGAGGCCGAAGAAGAACAATCAACATCCAGGACTGTTGATTTAGATGTACGGGATGTTATTACAAATATTCTCAAGATTACAGAAATGTGTCCTAATATCAGTAAAGATACAGGTTTAGAAGATGTTTCATCAAGAAAATCAAACTCTAGTACAGATGAAGGTGAGAAAAAAGATCAGGATACCACAGGTATTTATAGTGATTTTTGTGATTCGTGAGTCAACATTATCATTTTGTTCTAAGTTATTATATTTACATTGATGGAGATAGGAAGTTGAAATAATTATCATTATTGTATGATTTTTAACAGTGTGACATTAACTTTTCTTTCATTTTTCTATACTATACTATACTTTTTTTAATATCATGAAATGCTTTATCTCATTGGATTTTTGGATTTTGATTTATACAATGTTCATGAAAAATGAAGAAATGGTATAAATTATCACGCATTTTTTAAATATTTGCTATATTTGAGAAAAACTATATTGCTATAAAAGCAAATCATTATGAGATCATAGTTTTTTATATAAGGAACTGGAAAATTATGAATTCTAAACTTGAAGAATATGAGTATTTTGATTTAATTAGTTTTTTTTAGCATTTAATAACAAGCAAGTTTTTGTCGCTTTTTTATTTTCAAAAATCATCAGAATTATCTTAATTATAGCATAATATTATGTGCCACATTTACATATTTGTGTATATAGGGTGTACCAGATCTCAACGTCATGGTGATTGATCATAACTATCATGTAAAAAACTAGAAAAAACTTTATCTTACGTAGTTTGAAAATTATGAGCTTTTAATTGCAACCTAGAGCTTTGGTGAAAATTTGACCAATTTTCAGTTATTGTGGTTAATTTTTATTCATTTTGTTTATTTAAGCTTTGAATCCGTATTTGTAAATAACATTTTTAGGTGGAATTGCCAATTGCCCTAAGTTTTCAAGAATCAAGAATTTTATTGATCTATGAATTTAAAGTTTTCAAAACTGTCGACTTTAAGAGGCACACATTTTAAAAAAAATGCAAATAGGGTATTGACAAGTTTCAACAAAAGATGGGGCATTTATTTAATATTGTGAAATGGTAAAATACTTTTTGGTTTCGTAATAAAAAAAAATCAAGTAAAAAATGAAAGGTTAACATGGTAAGACCAGTACTTTTTTTCTAATTTTTTTGCATGATCGTTATGAAATACTTCCACCCCGTTTCGGCTTTACCCCTATATATATAGTGCCCGTAATCGGAAGTTTCGATTATTTTGTTAATTTTTCATATCTTTGATCGTTTTTTCTGCGGAAATTCATATTTTGTCTTTTTTGATATATTAAGCATTTTATTTTGAATTGATCGTTTTAAGGTAAGGTATTGAATGCAATATTTTGAGTATTTTGTTTTGCGCCAAAACGGCATTTCAAAATCCAAGAAAAATTCTCAAAAAAACTTTTATATAATGACTTTGAAATTTTTTTTAATTTATAAATTGCATTGCATTGCAGTGACGTTGCGCAAATAATTGTTTTTATTATTTATATGATTTAATATAAAATAGTTGCACTTTGTTGAATGTCTTTTCGTTTTTAATTCATGTGAGATGCAAAAACTGTTCTTTGTAATTAATTTCTCTCTTTATGATATCTTGCAATTTAAATTTACTATTCTAAATCATGAACAACATTTTTGATAAAATGTATCTAATATATGTTTGGCAGTTGTGCAGATTCTCGTAAAATAATGCTATTTCACCCTTTATTACTGCACATAATTAAATGCTTCAATGTCGAAATAAAATTTGGTCAAATAACTCTATAAGTGCATAAAAATTATGCATGAAGTATTAGTATGTTACTTTAAAAATTGGTGACGCATGAAGAGAACTTGCACTTGGCATTTTAAATATATGATTTTTAATAAGAATATATGATTTTGATAAGAAATAAGGGCAGAAGGTCATGAACAAGTTTCTATTCATTTCCAATTTTCAAATAGTTTTATGTAAATATTTATTATGTTAATTTCCATTGTATTTTCCGTAATCCCGAACCAATACCTTTATTTCAAGTATTAGATTATTACTGCATGCGACTGCAGCTTGCATGAATATAATAATGGTAACCTAATATTTTATTTTTTTCTTTATTTTATTTAAAATTTCAAGAAATATGTATAAACAGACTACTCGAAAAGTTAATAGCTGAAAGAATATGCATTTTTTGCAAGAATATAGTAATAACAAATATTTTAATTTTTTCAATATTTCGAAGGATTCTTTGATTTATTTCAAATTTCATGAAGTGTGATCAAACACCCGATTGCTAGAAAAGTTAATAATTCAATAATTTTCATAATTCTTTTTTTCAAAACGATTTCCGAAATGTTTTCGCAAATATTATATTTGTATAAAATACTGTATTAACACATAACAATATATTTTTGAGTAGGACAGACTGGATACGGTTGTGGCACTTTTTACCAGAAATAATTTTGTTAATATACCATCTAGCTGGGAGAAAAGTAAATTAAATGATAATTTGAGCATTTGTCTACGTGGAAATACTGAAATACTGTCCTTAAATACGATGGATTAGTCATAAAACATTTGTCTGCAATGAAATACTGAAATACTGTCCTTAAATACGTTGAATTAGTCATAAAACAAAATCATACAAGAAAATAAAAATAGGTTAAAAAACAAAAGCTATAAACACCAAAATGGTTTATAACCACTTTCATTATTAGACAACATTGCATAACATTGTAACACAACACAACATAATAATTTAAACAAAGTTTATGAATATAACCATGTATAGTAGAACATAATTTTCTAAACAGATCTAGAGAAAATAGTGAGTGGGAAAGCAATTCGGAGCCTAATTCATGTTTTCTTTTTGGCCATTGTTTTCACGAATTTGTGAATTGGTGCGTTCCCTGATAGAGCAGCACGATTTTCTTTTTCGACCTTCAAATGTTCCAATAACTTTGTACAATAGTCACTGTTGATGGTCTGGCCTTTTTCAAGATAGTTGATGAATATCATTTCTTACAAATCCCAAAAAACTGACGCCATAACCTTACCAGTTGATTGGCTGCATTTTCTCTCGTCATCGTGTTTAGTCCATTCGGCTGACTATCTATTCGACTCCGGAGTGTAGTGGTGAAGCCAGGCCATATCCATGGTGGCTTGTTTATGCAAAAACTCAGTTTTATTTCGATTAAACAGCTCCAAATACTCTTACGAATCATCAACTAACTATGCTTTTGGTCAATTGTGAGCTTGCGCGGCACCCATTTAGAACAGAAGTTTTTCCTATTCAATTATTTGTGAACGATATGTCCATCACGTACTATTGATATCTTTGGGTGTCAGCTATCTCAAGTAATGTTACTTTTCGCTTTACCAAAACGTTTCGGTGGACTTTTTTATATTTCCCGGTGTAATCAACTCAATTGGCCTTCCAGAGTGTTCAGCATCGTCAGTGTCTGTGTGGCCACGATTAAAATCAGCAAACACCTTCTTCGCCATCTAACTCGATTTGGAACAGTCCAGATAACACTTATCAAGCGATACTTTGGCAGCAATAGTATTTTTACCCATCAAAAATCAATGGTAAATCAACCCACGAAATTGCTTTGAATTCATGGTTTCAAAAACTCAAAAGTAGCGTCACTTGAACCTCTGTAACTTGTAAACAAATCGTTCGATTGTTATGAAATTCTGATATGTATCTTTTTAAAGTTGTTGTTTCTTACAAATAATATGGATGATTACATAGCTACATCATTTATGTGTTATCCTACGGACCTATTGAGTCTCAAAATCAGTATAATTTAGCTGTTGGTAGACTGCCACTAATGTACTCTGGCACAACCGTACCCAGTTTCTCTTTTTCAAAAGCTTATGCAAATAATATAAATTTCAGGATTTATATGTCGTTTTCAAAATTAATAAGAAATTAACATTCTTGCCATTGTGGAAAATTAATCTTATGTCTATATATATATATATATATATATATATATATATATATATATATATATATGCATTCTTTTTTTTCTCAATAAATATAGTCTCAAATCATTCGATTAGTGATCACAGGTTTTTTGTCCATATTTACTGTGTTTAACATATTATTAAATTTCTATAACCTCGTAATCTAAATATTTTCCGTTATGATCAAGGTTGTGTTTTGTGATAAACAAATCGAATACAATAGAAACAATAAATTTCTCGCTTACTAGAACCATATCGAATTATTTTAGTATTTATATTTTAGCGATAAATTTAATAATTGATGAAATATTGATATTTTTCTTGATGTTTTTAGAGTGAATGAGATCGAACTAATATGGATGCGAGAGAGAGGAAAGCCATGTTTTGTATATATATTTTATTTTTGCATTGCATTTTGTACATAATATTCGAGCACAGTTTTATACGGTTATATATTTGTGATTTTTACTGATGAAATAAAAATCGCCCAATAATTTATTTTTTAATTCTAGTATGTATGAGTATTAGTTGTATAAATATACTAACTTAAGTAATACCTAAAGAATATCATTATTTTTATATGCGTATTTTTTGTGTTCCTATTGGAAAGTATTTGCAAATACGTCTGAATGAATGAATTTGTTAATTAGTAATAAATATAATGTATTTTGCTCAATTGATACATACACTAATAATAAAGTTCATGTTAATAAATTATTAAGTAATTTTTTTTTTATAAAATTACTTCAATATTAGCATACTTAACATTTTTACGATCCACATTCAATAACTAACGGATATATTCAATAAATATTTTTATAAAATTAACTATAATATTCGATAAATACTGTCTATATACTTTATCAATTATTTTAGTTAATATTATATAAATCTTTAATAAATGATTTTGTAAACAATATCTTTGAGCATAGATGTTTACTTGCATGTTAGTAATTTTACCTAAAAAAAATTCGCGTTCCACTTGATTTTTAAAATTCTATGTATACTGAAATTATGTACCTTATAGCCTACTATAATAACTGTCCAAAATTTATAAAAAGAACACTTTTAGCTATTTAAATCATGTTTCAATTTACAAAATTAAATCCGAGATACTTATATTGTCTATTAATGGAAGATAAAATGAATTTATGATTATGTTTTCACTACATTAACACATTCACTGCTAATCTTGTGTTGCTCATACTTTTCCCTGTG